TCTTCATTCAATTTATTGCCACAAAATAAACATAGTTTTTTAAAACAAAAAGCTGAATCACTTGAACGGGATCTAGTACGAGGAGGACTACTTACTGTAGATCCTGTAGATGTGTTAGCTTCTTGTTCTTCGCGTTTTCTTTTGATGGCAGCAGCAATAGAACACTTCCGCGTATAAATTTTACGACAGTTGCTATGTATTGTCACAGATTTTTGTTTTTTAAGAAATTCCGAGTATCCATCATCTCTTTCAGCACTTGCATTAATCAGTGTCTTGATACCACGATCAACAGTTACAGTTTCACTTTCAGTTAAAAGATGAGTACAAATAAAACAATATTCTGACATTTTTCTTATAAAAATCTAAAACGCACAAAATAGGTTAAAAGATAGGTTAAGATAAGCACATGTTTTCCCTACGCAGTGGCGCTCAAGACTAACGGTATGTATTTCATATATTGGGCATGCCAACATAAAGCAGGTATACGACCCTAGCCACGCGGACAATAGAATAAAAGACAGATGTTATCCCAAGGTTATACTGACGTACAAATTTAGGAACGGGGTTTCATTATACCTGAGATTCTCGTAGTTTAACTTATATTTTACATAAGCAAGTTACAATAAATAATAGCGAACTTATTTTAGTTCTATTACACCTTTAGTGACTTTCATATGTGGCGTACGTGTGCAAAATAGAGGGATTACGACTGATCCAACTTTTCGGAACGTTATATCTCCAAAATGGTGGCTTTTAGGAAAAAAATTATTGATATATTTTTTGTAGAGAATTTTGTGATCTACAATTTTGTACTGGGGTAATTTTGCGAAAAAACTCACCGTTTCGCTAAAAGTCGCAAAAAACTCATTTTTTTGACCTTTGACCCCGTGCCAAATTTTTAGCACACCTCGGAACGATGAGGACTTTTGAGATTTTCTTTATAATGATGTTTTGAACAACTATGCCAATATTCAGCTTTATGGGAATTTATGTAACCTTCCTCCTGATTTTAGGCTTAAATAGACCGGACTATAATATAAACAATATAGTTTTTGTCTTTTTGTCTGTCTTCCAATATATTAAAAAAAATATTTTCGTCCAAAATAAATCGTAACAATTATAGTTGTTTGTTACAATTAGTGATAATAATAAACGTTATATTAAAGATTTCAAAGATTCAAATTTTTTGTTTTAGCTTTCATGGCCAAAATGTTGCGTAAATAAAAGACATAGAACAGGTAAACAATGTGCTTTTAGGGAATAAAACCTTTTAAAAAAGGTTTTGTTGTTGTGTATTTTATAATTATAATTACTATTAAGTAAACATTGAAAACATAAAAGCATCAAATTTTTCTTCGAAGCTGTCAAGTGGAGTCCAAGTATGATTTAAAAATATTACCATATCTTTAATAAATAAAAAATAACCGTTAGCATATAATTCTATCCAAAATTAAAACCCACAATGCAAAGCTGACCTTCCACTTTAAAATGTACCTAAATCCAGTAATTTATTTTATTTAACACTATATGCAATTTTATTTAACACTATATGCAATTTCAAATTAAATGAGAAGATACCATTTTAAAATTAATTTGTCTCGTTTGGATTGCTTGCTCGGACGAACCTAACCTTGCAGTGTTGGCAGCGAGCCAAACATAAAAATCAATGTTCCCAACTTTACCATAAATTAACGAATTTTAATTTTACACAAATATTAATAATATGTTATAAGAATACTTCAGGTTGATGTACAATATGTTTGTCCTAATTAAATTTGATTGTTATATTAATATTTAACTATTCTTTCATCATTAATGCAGTAAATCCTGAATTCTAAAGATAAATAAGCTCATTAAAGTAACAATATTGCGTCTTCTTAACAAAGATTTTGGGGATTCCATGTATGTCTTCAAAGAAAGGAAATGTTAAAGAGATCGTAACAATAAAATGCGTTGCATTTTTCACAACTTTTTTTGGTAGACGGAGTTCAACCTATTAAAATGATTCTTAAGGTCTGAAATTTGCATGATCCACAAAAAAATATCTGTTACCTTGAACAAGGTTATGCAATTATGTAACTCTTTCCATAATAGTTAAAGTTTAAATTATGTCTTTTTTTTAGTTAAGAAGATACCTAAATACAAATTTGCATTAGTGAAACAGACGTTTACTTTATAGAAACACAAAATATTAATGATTAAAATTTATTATTTTTTAATTATGAATAATTAATAAGGTCCAAAACATCAAAATGCGTTAAACAATACATGTTTATTTAATATAAATCATTACAATAAATTACTGTAATTAATTAGTTATATTAAATTGATAACCGATAAACTTCTGAACTTCACTCAATATATAAATCATTTAATAAGTTAAATGACAGAGACAATGACATAAAATATCTGGAGGGAATGTCTCTTTAATATAAAGAAGGTGATTCTGAGTTCATTCTATTTATAACTATTGTAAAAAGATTTATAAGAAATAATTTAATTAGGCAACAGTTGCTAGCGATACTTCTCATTTCATTGAACGCGACAGAAATCGTTAAAAACCTTTTGCAAAATACTGAATAGTATTCAAAAATAACATTTCAACACTATAAAGAACTAAAATATACCAAAACTAAAATGGAGAATTAGAGAAAAGAAAAAACGGGAGACTTTAAGGTCGTACTTACATTATTACTTAACTCTAAACATTGGTGAAACAACAGTAACTGCTAAATCAGTTAACGTAAAAAAAATACATAATAAAATATTATTATTAGTTATTTAAACTTATAGTTTTAGTAAACAAGCTCGATCCGAAGCAGCTGAATGAATAAGCGTAGCCTAAGTCCAATAACTTCCATATAAACGAAGCAAATATTGTTTCATGAACTAAACTCCTGATATTTTTAAATTGCAATTCAGTTTGTGATCAGCTCATATGAGATTGATTTTTATTTACACAAGACAGATTTTTTATGTTTCTTACTCGTTCCAGCAAAAACTTCTGAATGTATTTCAATTAAAAACCTCATGAGCGCTCAAGTTATGTATAATTGTTAATTAAATTGCTGACCGAACCTCATACTTGCATTTTGAAGGAAGTCACGTGACTACTTTTTAGTCTATTAGTCACCATATATAATTATTTACACAATATATTTATATCACTCTGAACTTAATTCGAAGTCGGAACAAACGACTACGAGGGAAAAATCTTGTATTACTTTTGATCGATAAAGATTCTGGCAACTCCACAAGTAGCTAGTTGACATATACAAAAAAAATGCTATGTGACATAATTTTGAAGTTGGTAGATGCTACATGTGTACAGTTACAACTATTTCTAATATAGTGTATTATCTATAGTTACAACAACTCGAACATGGGCGGACTTTACCGGGGAAATACCACCCTCTTACAGAAGATCGACGTGAAGTAGCCTTTAATGGCTGCATTTCGTCTTATGAGTGAGAGAGACGATTGCTTTTTCCTTTATCACACCCCTTTCCTTATTCCACCCTTTTCTCTCTCTTCCCCAATCAAGATTGGCAACGCACCCGCAAAACTAAGTTGCAGATGTCCATAGATGATGGTAACTACCTCCATCAAATGGCCGTCTGTCGTTGGTCCCTTTTAGAATACACAAAACAAAGTAGCTATTCAACATAATTATTATAATAAAATGGTATAATACTTCTTATAAAAAAAACTTCAGTATATAATCTATAAGTTTTAATTTGTTTCCAAACCTCCATAACACGAAAATACTTCAAAGTTCTATTCAATATTTACAATATATAATCTAAGATTTCTAGAAATTTCAAGACATTACACGTATAACTACATAAAGACAATAATTTTCACTCCTTACAAAAAAAATATCAATTTATTACTGCAACTTAGGAAATTTAACAAAATAAATCTAGCTCACAAATAAAATATAGCAGCTAGCTCTTTTCTTCATCATTCTATATAAAAGCTAAAGAAATTCTAATAAAAAACTGTTGAAAAGCCATAAACATTTGTTTACATATTTTATCTTGTTTCCTTGAACACACTACGAACGAAAATAATACAAAGAAATTAAAAATAGTTTTATATAAAGCAAAACATACTGAAAGTATATTTAATAGATAGTTTTTTAATAATTTTGATATTCAACCGAAACAAACGTTTTCCCTTATGAATCTTTGGCACTTGCAATTTGTAATCCAATATTTATCAAAAATCAATTTGAAATTTTAACAATATATTCTTTGAAACATATATATAAAAAGACAAAATGAAACTAAATTGTTTATATTATGTGTGTGTGGGTACTGATAGTGTAATTGGATAAAAAAATGTGTTCTAAAAGAAAAAAACATGCAATTTTTATTTTTTGTTTTTTTTTTTGTGTATTTTATTTTATAAAAATAAAATATTTATACATAACGGAACGTATGAAAAATTTTTCATTATCAAGAAATAAAATTCAACTGGTCTAAATTTAAATATTAAATTAATGAAACGACAAAGTAACTGAAGTAAAAACTAAATTTGCAATTCAAATCAAGCAATTATTATGTGAATTGCAATTTGCATTATGGCTTATAAATTGAAAAGCAATACAGTTTAATAGATAATTAAATGTATATATATAAATTACTAAATCACTCTAGGATACATTATTACGTGATTAATAATATTAAAAAAATTTGGCAATATATTACATTGAGAATGTATATCTAAGTGTATGTTTGTACTAAACATCACAAAACTTATAACTAGAAAATTTATCATTATATAAATACAATTCCATGTAAATATCTTCATTATCATCATCATTTTGTATTATAAATTTAAATTGACCGGGATACATGTTACATTGGAATTGGTATAACTATATTATTGCCATCAGACTGTTTGTTTGTGATGACACTATAATTTCATCATCGTCACACTAATGTTCATCATTTTCATCACAGTTTCATCACTGTTTCATAGATTCTCATCACTGTTTATTTGTCTCCTTTCAATGCTTGTTCCAATACTGCCTTAGATGGTATTTCTACTGTAACCGTCTTGCTAATAGTTGATAGCTGTGTCTCCGATGAATCCACTGGTTCAGTTAAAATGCGTAGAGAAGATACTTTGGCTCGCTGGTACGCGGTCACTGTATTCACGCTTAGAAACCTGAAGAATTATACAAATAATATTATAATTTCATAACAAAAAAAATATATGAATATAGAAAAACTTATTGTTTCATATTACACCTCTTGTTGAGTGTGTATATAAAATGTTTTTATTATTTGTCACATAAATCGAATTCTTTGCACTATAATAAAATTGCATTAAGATATTACTGCAAGTTATTTATTTCAAAGTCCAAACCGGAGATGTGAAACTATCTATCAATATTTCTCATATAGTTATTACCACAAAGTCAGTGGTGGCCTAGTGGTTAAAATGCCCGACTCATACACGAGGGCGCGGGTTCGTTCCTGACAACTACCAAAGTGATATTTCCGAGTCATATGTACTCTAAGAGTATTTAGACATCACTGATTAATGCATTCCCAAAGGGAGTTGATGTCAGACAGGCGGCCGGTAAAAACAATTAACCAAAACTATTGACAACATGTAAGGTCTGCCTTACATGTTGTGAAGCCAGGGTCTGCCCTTTGCCAGGTAGAAAAAGAGTTATCACCACATACATATATATATATATATATATATATATATATATATATATATATATATATATATATATATATATATATATATATAAGTCATTAATACATACCTGATGGCCACATAGCATATAAGTAGCGCGGCCCCCGCAGCTAGTACTCTAGGTACGGGCGCGGGGAACAGTTGAACCAACACCCAGGCGGCCCCTCCCGCTCCACACATGGCCATCACACACAGACCTGTGCGGACCCAGTGAGAAGCTGTGAACCCTCGCTCCCATTCAACCCTGGGGAATTAAATACATATAACAATATTATATCCTACTAAAAAGAACAAGGAAAAAATTGAGTTTTTCTATAGACATAAATTATTTTTATTAATAAACATATCCATTATTTTAAAATAAAAAACCAAACCGCCCCACATACATTAAGAGTTATGTCAAATTCTATCAGTGAGGCGGCAAATCTATAACAAATAATCTATATATACATATGAATTGCTGTTCGTTAGTCTCACTCAAACTCGAGAAGGGCTGAACGGATTTATCTTATCTTAGTCTTGAAATGTTTGTGGAGGTTCAGGGAAGGTTTAAAAGCTGAAAAAAAATTATTTATTTCCGGGAAAACCCTAAAACAGCTCTTTTCTATTTCCCATACAAACGTTTTGTTTACATTAGATTTGACAACTAACTAATATGTCAATCATTCTGTAACACTTCAGAACACGGAGATTTATGGCTTATAGGTAAACTCCAAAAAAATAAACGAAGTCTGCCGGGTCAGCTAGTTATTATATACATATATTATACAATTCTATAACATTTTGCCTTGATATCTTACCTGTTCGTCTCTTGAACTATGTAAGGCGTGTTGCATACTTTGCACTTAAGACCGTCAGGAGTCGCAGCGCTCTGGAAATATAAATTACATATATTAATAAACAAATGAAATTGTATAGAAGTATTGATTGAATTTTACTCTCCATAACTTTCTCATGATCTTAAATTTTATTTTATAGGACTTTAAATATATTTGTTCATCATCATTCATCCCATACCTCTACAAGCCATCGACTCAGACAGTCGTGATGAACAGCTGCTACATCTCCTGTACATCTGCAAGGCGTGATGAGGGGTTCCTGACGCGAGCTATCGTAACAGATCCAGCAGTCGCGGTGGGAACCCACGCTACCGACCAGAGAGTCTGTTTCCACATTCTAGAATAAAACCATAAAGAAATTTAACATTTTATGACCTTTTTGGTCCATAAATAAAAAAAATCCATAAACTTTGTACTCCTCATTAAACATTCTATGACTTTTTTGGACCATACTTGTATTAATCCAATGATAATTTCGTCTTTGCACTCCTCATTTCATCTTTACACATAACATTATTCATTTGACAGTTGTTATTACATTAGTTTCTCAAGTCAATTGAACCGAACACCTCAAGTTAGTAAAGCAAGAAATATTGTATGAGAGGAAAAAACGCTAATATAACCTCGTGGAATTGGTAAAAGTATTACACACTCACCGAAGCAGCCCCTTCGATAGATTTCACGCGTTTGGAATAAAGGAACATGGTGAAAAATACTGTCCAAATACACCATTTCCAATGTTGGACCAGCCGACAAACATATAGCGCCTTATCGCGCCACGACAGTTGGGAAAACTCGGCTAAGCTCTGGGAATTCAGAGTGGCTGTCATATCTGGCTATTGGAGGAAGTTAGCCAAAGCTATGCCAATTTTGATGCCAAAATAGCAATTGATAGCACAGAAATCGCCAAAATGTATGGGAATTTAATAAATATTGACTAATTCCAATATTATCTGGAGAACCAAAACATTGAGAAGCCTTGAAGCAATAGACATAATCATCACGATAATAGTAAGGACAATACAAAAGCTTGTAGCGAAGACTTAACAACCCGCCTTATGGAAAGCAAACAAATATAGACCCTATAAACACTAAATAGAGTCGCGAATCGACTGTCACAGGTGTTTGACTAATCAATTTACAAACAAAATGATTGTGATAGTTTAAGTTTTGTTAATTAAATGAAATTAATTAGTAATGAGTTGACTTAAAAACTAAGAGCAAACATATTCATTAATTATATCCCTTAAGATTATTAACCAAATAAAAAAACATACATTAAAGAAATATTCAACCAAAAAATGTACCGATAACATCGGAAACCATAAAAATTCACCATCTTTGGCACTAATTCTTTACGCATTCAAGTCTCCCTAAAATTCACGATTTAGCACAAAAACCTATGAATTGATCCTATCTCCAAAATTCACCAACATCACTTTCAATTCGATAACCCAATAATAACTCGTCTCCAAAATCCACCAACCTTGGCATCAGCCGGTCGCTTGTTAGCCAATAGATCCGCCAAGCTGGCATCGTCCAACTGGCGCGCCAACAACCGTCGCGGGTTCAACAACCACAGTCGTTCGGGAGCCATGCAGTTCCAGAGTACACACGGGAACCATAGCGCTACACCGATCTCCGCCAAACGGAACACCAGGTCGTGCCAATTACGTGACACTACTGGCACCCTGAAATATAAACACATAATGACATATAAGACTTTCAATATATCGTCGGGGATAGTGCAAATCATCGTAACTACTATTGGATGATAAATTAAACACTAAATAATTAGTAATTGTGAAAAAAATACCTTAAAAGTCGTTAATATAAAAAATATTTACGCGGAATTATCCAATGGTAGTAACACGAATTTGCACTATATTTTATACTACATACTCCCACAGTTTCGGTTACTTTGCAGCAACCGTGATGAGATGTGATGCATAGTATTCAATCATTTTAGTTTAATTTATATAAAGATATATTGACCATTAATTTAAAATTATCCTATCTTTTAAGGCATGATCAAATGTCATATTACATACAGAGAATTCACTAATCCTACTAATATTATAATTGCGAAAGTTTGTCAGCGTGTGTATGTTTGTTACTTCTTCACGCTCAAACGGCTGAACCGATTTCTATAAAATTTTGTATACAGGAAGCTGACGTCCAGGGATAGCATATAGGCTACTTTACATTCCAGAAATCCGAAAAACACCGCGGGGCGCAGCTAGTATATATATATGAAATCTAGACTAACTTCGTCTTCCAGAATTCGCTGAGTGTTTCCGATGCTAGGAAGCCAGCTATTAGTATCAGCATGAGCGCCTGACTGACCAGCCCCAACCGTGACTGATGAAGCTGGGACAGGTTCACTGACCGAGGATCTATACTACCGCCATCTGATAGATCTGTCTGGATACCCTGGTGGAGAACAAATATTTGAAGAATTTTTTTTGGGGGGTGAAATTAGAACTAAATTCTTATTATATATCTAATATTCTACTAAGTGAAGTACACGTAAATTAGATTTCCATCGTTTTTCTTCTATTAACCATCAGAATTGAGATACAAAGGATTTTGCAAAAATTATGTTTAGAACTGGATTCTGGATAACATTGAACAGATTAAAGTGGAGATTCATTTACTAATATCAGAATTTTTGCTAGATTGCTTGATTCATACACCCAAATTCTGGAAATAAATTAAAAAACAAATTCTTCTAGCACAGGAACGGCTTATTATAAACAATAGATCTATTTTTAATGTCCACAAAAAATATAGCCTTACAAGAGGACATTCTGTTATAAAGTATTTTTCTGCTCAAATATAAGTTTATTGGCATATATAACATTAAAGAACTGTTGTATGATGTCTTTTGAGTTGTGTATTCCATACCTGCTTAGCGACCAGTGTATCTTGAACGTCGTCACCCTCAGCGGCAGTCGATGGACCGGGTCTTGGTAGAATGATCGTGCACACTTTAGTCTCCTTGAGAAATTCCCCGCGAAGCTAGTGGAAGAAATATATTGGTGTTATTACTCATATATTATATATAGTTTATTAATTAATAAGAATTTATTATTTCTTTATAAACATTAAAGTTCTTTTTGGGTCGTGATGTATTTTTGGACCTTATATATATGCTATGTTACACAAATGAACAGATTTTGTTATTATCTTATCTCTACAAAGAAAAACATACTAGAGTGTCTTTTTTTTTTTTATGGGAAAGGTGGCAAACGAGCCGACGGCCCACTTGATGGAAGGTGGTTACCCTCGCCCATAGACATCCGCAACATCTATGTTACGGATGCGTTGCCAACCTTGTTTTTTAGGGAAAGGGAGGGGCGGGAATAAGGAAATGGTAGGAAAGGGTGGGAATAGGGAAAGGGCAACCGGCTCTCTCACTCATCGAACGAAACGCAGCCATTAAAGGCTACTTCACGCCGATCTTCTGTGAGAGGGTGGTACTTCCCCGGTCGAGCCAGCCCATGTTCGAGCTGTAGTAACTGACTACAGCTAGGCTCTACCACCTATAATGTCTGTTTGAAAAGCTAAAATAAACGCTTTTAAGTAATTACATATACCAAAAATAATAATAAATAATAATTACTATCTGACTTTCTGTTTGTTACCGTTAATCCCTGAAAATAATGACATATTTTGACTCGATTTTAACTAGAAGATAGCTTATATAATGAAAAGAAACTTAGACGAATAAAATTTTATCTGCTTTACTAATATATAGCACAAAAAATTTAATTTTTATTTATGCATACGTTACGAGATAAGTTATTTCGTACAGTTCATAATAATATTATTATCAGTTCCAAGACGTTATCACGACGGACCACCAATAACAAAAATAATGACGTCCTAAAATGGACCTTAAATAATAAATATATATGACATATATTCGGTTTGTCTAACATCAACAATAGACCATTCAGCGACCTTAGATAACCACAAAAGGAAGCAATTGTAATAAAACTTTGTGAACTCATCAATTAACATTGACATCAATGATGGATGAGAATATATTCCAGTCAAAACAAAATACAGGTCACTCGATTATTTTTTAGTCTCACTGAATTTAATACTTTAAAAAACATAGTTAATGCCTAATTCCTTTTTGTGCAATTCAAAGACTAAAGCCGCAATAGCACTTGCTTTTTTTAGGAGGTAGAATGTGTTAATTTCGTTAAACCACTTAAATTCACCCTATTGTTTACTTTTAAACTTTTGTGTCAATTTAACTTTGTATTGCTTAGTGATTAGACAATTTTTGCTAATTCTAAATGTAAATTAACATTTTGAGAGAAATATGGGGAGGATTCAGTATTTAGACTCGAAGACCACACCGATAGCCATCACATTTATTCAGGAAGGCTAGTCGCAGGGTTCTGTAGCTTTGCAGATTCTGAAGATTCGAGAAACCACATCACATACAAATGCCTGAATGAGAGCGTTTCGTCATACCTATCTCCTTACAAAACCGCTTGCGGTAAGCGATGGGTTACTGCGTTAGGGAGCAAACGCTCAAAAATCGGTTGCAATGTCTAGGAGGCGCCAAGTGAACCTTGTGCAAAGCGATTATTATTCGGAAGGCAGTACTAGCAATGAGACAGGTGTGATTAAAGCATTGCATTATTCTGGGGCGAGTATAAAGATTAATTCTTAAGTGATGATCATCATATTAGGGTTTGGAGACGAGAAGGTTAATGACTTTCAGATGCTTGGATTCACGAAAATTACAGCTTTAGGGGTGCTAATACAGTAGTGTAGAGAAATTCATTTTCTGGTAGAACAGAGCTTGTTATTCTCGATGAAGGTACAGTAATCGCTATTCAGAAAAAAGAGGCCATACACGGTATTAATAAAAGTAAATTTTAGGAAAAAAACCTGACGTGTGGCTTACATTCCAAACATTAATTTTAAGTTTATAACATAAAAAAATAATCAATTAAATTCAATAATCTTCCCACCCAAAAACTTAAAGTTTTAATAAGAATACTAAACAAATATGATGGTCTTTATTTTGTTTGGACCATTATATACATATATAATAATAAATTTCTTAACTCACCTTAAAGTATACTTCGACGCCATACAACAGGAAAAATATGACGACTATGAAGAGAAGTACAGCGTAGCAACCATTGAACACGTGCTGGTAGAAATTCTGTAACAGAAACATATATACATATATATATAAATAGAAAGAAATTGGTTAGGTACAGAGAAAAGCTTGGACGGTGGAGGTGAGCGTTTAACGCGCGTTAGATAGGGCCCCTTAAACTTACACCTGGGTCACAAGTCCCAGTCACTGTTGAAGCTCCTCTCTACAACGATGGACCCGACACACGCACGGTGAATACATTCAATGCTAAGAGGTTTCGTCTCTTATTAATAATAATAATAAAAAAGTGATCTCGTATGCCCGTAAACGTCGGGACTATGTAGTTCAAAGCAATAAAATACGCGTAGTAATTCGGAAAATATTAGTTTAATTTAAATGAATACTCACGAAAGTCTTAGATTTCACAATATTATGGGAGGCATATTTGATTAACTTTAAAAATACCACGTTAATTATGATTCAGTTTCTACAAAGAACAATTGAAATATTTATAATTTCATGGTATAAAAGTTATAAGAATTGTTTTGATTTGAGGATTGTTCAAAAGAAATTATTTAAATTCGAACCAATAATAAATAAATGATGTAATTGTTTACGAAAGATTACTTATTACAATACATAGAACAAAAATCTAAAATCTACATATACATCTTCTTCTACCTGACAATTTCCCAGCTATAGCTAGGGTTTTCACGGCCTGCCTGACATCAACCCTCTTTGTTAATGCATTAATCAGTGATGTCTAAATACTCTTAGAAAGTACATATGACTCGGAAAAATCACATTGGTACTTGCCAGGGCCAGGATCGAACCCGAACCCTCATGCATGAGACGCGGGCCTTTTAACCACTAGGCCACCACTGACTAAAATCTATATATACATCTTTTTATTAATATACTAAGAATGCCTCGTATACATTTGAATTCCTCAAGCTATACTCATGTTCACAAAGAGACAGCTTTCTTACGTATTGACAAAGACATTCCTTTGTTATGAACCATTATTAATAATTCAGAATAATGACAAACACACAAACATACACATATACATATCAAGAAACAATGGCATTGTATAATCCGAGGTAATCTTCATCAAATTATTATAATTATTAGTTTTATACATAAACACGAAAATAACAGAGACTTTATACTTATTAAAAACAAAGCTAACAATTAGTAGTATAATTTGAGGAAATTAAAATATAATTACGTAACATGTTCAAATAAAATTACTTACTTCGTAAAAGTTATGAAATTCATTCAAAAATTAACTTAAAATTTTGTTGAAATATATTTTAATATATGAATACTATCAAACATATTAAAATATATAGATTTTTCTTTGTAAATATTTTTTTTATATCCTTAATAGTATCGCAATAAGAGCTTTAGTATATAAACTTTATATCTAATGATTGTAAAGATAAAAATGGGTTCCGAAAAAAACAGATCAATAATGTAAATAATCTATCAGACTTGTAAAAAACCCATTATTAATTCCAAATACGGAACCCTAATTAATGAGAATACATCAAAAGAGGTACATAGATAAATTTGAATTTCAATTGAGTTAACCATTATGGTCATTATGGCCATTATAATCATTATGTGGCATGGAATAAGACGTTGGATTATGGCGGAAACAGGTGACAGGCTTGTGGCGAATTATTTAAATAAACCCCATTAAAGGTCGAAAAAACCTGTTTGAATGAAATTGGACCTGTATGAAAAATAAGATACATTTTGATGGTATTTTGAAAAGGTTATGGTGTCTCATATAGAATTTAAACTACCCACAATATATATTTTTATACATACATTATATAAAATTAATGAGATCTAAGATTTTTGCGAGTTTGCCGGCATCTAGAGTGGTACGCTAGGAAATTAAGAAATCGATAGCGGTAGATGACAAAGACGGTAGATGAAAAAGTAACCGAAACGTCGGGAGTATGTAGTTAAAATACGCGTAGTAATTACAAAAACATTAGTTTCATTTAAATTATATCAAAATTATCTATCAAAACTAAATTCCCTCCCTCTCTTAAGCTAATAGGACTTAGTCGTAAATGTTTTTATCAATACCATGCCATCTTTACATGTAAACAGTATTTATATCTATATGTAAAACAACATAACATTTTTGTTTTGTATTTTAAATCATACATAGCTTCATGTATTTTACGTTAAGTTTAATCGTTGAATTTAAATTTATTGTCTTACCTGAATTTTTACTGATTACTATCAATTTATTTTTGAGAAGAAATAAAGTATTAAAAATTTTACTTATATAGCATTAATTCTTTATATACCTGCTGACCTATATATAATGTAACAATCCAAATTATCTCAAAGTTTGTTCTCCAAAAACTACATAAAAAAACATTGAGAAAAATTGTTTTGTAAATATTTACTTACATAAATAATTCAAGAATCGTATAAGAAAAAGCTATACGATATTTACCTATTTCAAGGCACTTTTAAGTGACGCCTTATTTTATCTTTTAAATCTTGTCTTATCTTTTAAATCTTATCTTATCTTTGACCACATACCTTCTTCTCGGCGGTGGTGTCAGCTACGTTCGTGGCGAGGACCTCAGCTGCCAGCAGCGAGTATATGATCACATTGAAGGTCGCGAATGCCAGAAATGTTTTGGACAGGAACCGAGGACGCTCCCAACGGATATCACGGAGATGGAACACCTTTGAACATATGTATGTTGGTTAACTTTACTTAGAAGTTTATTAATATTTATGTTATATTAATTTTTATTTTGTCATATATGATCGTCAAATATCACGTCCTCAAGTATCGATAGTAATTCACCAGTCACCCTGTATATATATTTTATGTTAAAGATGGCAAACTAGACGGCCTAATTGGTGGGCAGTATTCATCTTCGCTCATGGACATCCACAACACCTCTGTTTCGGATGCGTTGCAAAGGGTTTTTTTTAGGTATAATGAGGGTTGGGAATAAGGGAATATCAGGAAACATGGTAATAGGGTAAGGGCAACCGGCTCTCTCACTCATCGGACGAAAAGCAGTCATTACTCACTACTTCACGCCGATCTTCTGTGAGAGGGTGGTATTTCCCCGGTCGAGCCAGCACATGTTCAAACTGTAGTTACATGACTACAGCTAGGCTCTACCCCGTACAAAAATTTTCTACAAGACTACTAAAATTAAAATTAAATTTCCCTTGCCCATTCAATCACCCACATGAATACAATATTGTGCGAAGATATATAAATGAAATACTTTACTAAAATCTAGACCACATGTACTTCATCGGATCAATTGGATTAATTGCTAAAACATATATTGATATATGTGGGAATTATAATAATTATTATTTTGAAATCACCAACTCGTCTTGAACAAGCGTGGTGATTAATGCTCAAACCTTCTCCATGTGAGAAGATGCCTTTGCTCAGAAGTGGGCTCTGATAGGCTAATGATGATTATTATATATACCAGGTAAACTTGATGTCAAATTACATCATTATCGTGTCATATCTTTATATACAGGGTGACTGGTGAATTACTATCAATATTTAAGGAGAATACTCGGTACATGATTCTCATTCGAATTATGTAAAAAAAATAGGTACTTAAATTTTGACCAAATTTCCGTATAAATAAATAAAGTGTTGACACGTTTCAAGTGTTCCAAGTGTGGACGCGTGCGGCGGCGTGCTGATATACTCACCCTGTATATACTCAGTGATCTAATGATATTTTTGCGAACATTATATCTGCTCTTATATCAAATTGTAATAACGTGTTTTTCTTATCAAGCTATCACATATCCCACATTAGGGAAAAAAAACCTTTAATAGTTTATTCATTCAAATACTATGTAAATATATAAAAAAAACCGGTGATATTTAAACGAGATTCATACAAAAGTTAAAATCACGTTTTATGCTAATTTTTTACATTATACAAATATTTGTATACATAATCAATTTTAAAATAATGATATGTCGCCCTTAAATTGATTTAAAACAATATTTTTATCTAGTTATATGAATAAAACTATAAATTAAAATATGCAGATATTAAGTTTTATTTATTTCAGAATAAAATCTATACTAATATTATAAAGCTGAAGAGTTTGTTTGTTTGTTTGTTTGTTTGTTTGTTTGTTTGAAAGCGCTAATCTCCGAAACTACTGGTTCGAATTGAATAATTCTTTTTGTGTTGGATAGTCCAATTATCGAGGAAGGCTGTAGGCTATATAACATCACGCTACGACCAATAGGAGCAAAGATATAGTGGTAAATGTGTAAAAAAACGGGAGAAATTATTTCATCTTTGAAGCCTTCCGTTGCGTGGGCCGTGAAAACGGTTCAAGATACACAAAAAATATGTATGAAAGAATAATAGCTCTTTTAATGATCTAAAAAAACAGTCCGCGACAGTATATGTCTATCTTTTAAGATTAACTCACAAAAACCTTTTTTATGGTACCTAATTTGGTCGAAATAATTTGTTTATGTTGTATCAACATAATAATATTAATCTTTATTCAAATAAACAAATAAATATGTTGTTGGTTAAGAGTACTTCATTGTGAATAAAAAAAAACATAGGTTTTATCCTGAAAATTCTACGGGAACTCGACCATTCCGAAAACCCCACAAGAACCAAAAATCTGCCGTAAGTCACTATTCCACGCGGACGGAGTCGCGGCAAAAGCTAGTATATAATAATGAGGTTTTTAAATTATTCTGCTTCTCAATTGGAAAATATTAGCAAAAGACTAGTTTTTTTATAATCGTAACGAATATGAGGAAACGAAATTTTATTGCAATAATGAATCCTTATTTTTTTTGAATTCCACATCAAACAAAAACACAGTAATTGTGAAAAAACATAGAATTTTATGCCTTGAACTTAAACTTCGAAATTTTTAGGGTTCCGTATCCAAAGGGTTAATGAAATATATTGAACATCGAGACTAAATTAAAATAACAAGTTATTAATATATATTATATATTAATTAATAATATATTGGAGAAATTCAATAATAAATCTATTATAACCAATATATATGTAAAGCTATTTTGATTTACTCTAAATATACCATTTTAATTATGATCCTTTTTCTTTTCTCCTTTCATCCTTTTTCTATAAAGAACAATTGTGATATTATCATACATATATATTTATATATGCGTATATATAAATGTCAAAAAACTATTTTATTGCACAGGGAAGGTCGATGTCATGGTTCACGGAAGAAAAATCTTCATAAATTTCGTTATTAGCATAATGCAGTAATAATGAATTTAAAACATTAAATAACATTGAAATATATGTATAAATTGTTACTATATATATAAAATAAAATATTTAAAAATCACATCTTTCTGTACTTTTGTTGGTTTACAATTAAAAATTACATGCCTTTTTAAATTCATACCATAAAAAAAGCTATTATTTCTCTTATTTACGTCACTCGCGTAATTATTTTTTCCGATACATAAAAAAAGTAATTTTACGGTTATCATTGGAACAGTAAAACCTAACTATGCTAGACTTATTTGATTACTTATACAAATACATTTAGATAATTTAACATCAAAATAAAAATATTTTCTATTATAATTTCCTTATATACATATAACGAGATAGACATTAGACACATGCCATTGCGGACTTTTCTTTAGACCTAAATAAAATACACAATTCCACCATACATTGTTATGTTATATCTCAAACTGTTTTGGTAGCGTTTTCGTTAAAAGAGCCCAGACGGCTAATTTTTTCCCGACATCTTCGACAAATATCGGTAATGTACACACAAATCAATATAAATCCATAAAACATATATATATTAAAACCTTTCTCGAGAATCACGCTATCAAGTATCGAGTAGTTTTTCTGTTTATTGCGAACAGACAGACAGAAACGAGAGAGCACTTTGTTTTATAATATCATTAATATGTATTGATCTACTTTGAAACATAAAATTTATATATTTATCCTTTATATAAGTTCGCTACGTCACACTGAATATTACGTAACAAATGAGAAACGGCGAACGCCACGTATGTAGTATCGACGCAAACTCGTGCTAAGCAAAGCTATTACACGCGGAACAAAAACAAAATCAATAATCGGCCTTAATATTTATTTGCATAGTAACCTTAAGACTATTATGTAATATAAAAATAAACCTTGACAGAGCGGATAAATTAATAAGGTGTTATACATATATAATAATTAACTATGGATTTGGAACTACATATGTGTTTTATACAATAAGTGATCAGTCAGTGGTGGCTTAGTGGTTAAAAGGCCCGCCTCTCATGCACGAGGGCGCGGATGCGATCCTGGCACTGGCAAGTACCAATGTGATTTTTCCGAGTCATATGTAATTTCTAAGAGTATTTAGACATCACTGATTAATGCATTCACAAAGACGGTTGATGTCAGGCAGGCGACCGGTCGTAAAAACAATGGGACAAAACTATTCACAACATGTAAGGCAGACCCTGGCTAAAGCTGGGAAATTATCAGGTAGAAGAAGAAGAAGATATATGTGATAAAAATGTTATAGAGTTAACGCATACTATGTTGGTAAATAAGATCGTTTCCGATACTCTTAATACAAGTCTGCATCGTCGAATCAAACATACTATATACTATTAAGTTTTTGCACATATATTAATAGTACTAGCTGTATTTGTTTAGTTTGAGTCAAACTTATGGTAAACATATATATACATATAGGGAACACATATTTAATTTCAACCGAACCTTTAAATTCCCGAACACACTAGAAGTCACGTTACAGCGATGACGTTTGGTTGGTTCAATTTTACAAGTATTTGTCATCGCGATTTGTGTCTTTGTTAATTGAATTTAACTTATTTTGGGTATTTTGGTTTAAAATAACAATTAGTTTATTCTAGTTAAGGTCTGATATGTTATTTAATACTGGCTTTATAAGACAACTATATTTTTTTATGATTTTGTTAGAATCCTGAATATTTATTAGTATGTTTCATAAAACAGCCGAAAACTAATTCCCAAAGTCAAGCCAAGCCGCGACGCTAAGTATGTATACTAATTTTAAGTATTAAGGTAAGGGAAACTGTATTTTCAACTCTGTTTGAAGCTCAAACTTACAAAGGTTTGGTAAGGTATATTTCGTTTGGATTGGTTATAATAAAAAATGTAACCTTCATTATGTCCGTATATATTTTATTAATCAATATTTCCTATTATCAAACTTCGTTTTTTTTAAATAAATAAACTATGCGATATTATAATTTTAATGTTATGTTACAATTATATGAATGTAAGTATTTATTATATTAAAACTAATTAATTTTCGTTCATATATTTTCATATTTTAAATTTATTGTTAAAAACTTATATTAATATATATTAATATGTTTAGTATCTGTTCTTTAAAGTTTACCTAAAAACCGATAGTAAAGACGTCACTCGTTGAGATTAATCGTAATTTTAGCTCATACTAAACTTATTTTAATCCTGTATATACTCCGTATACAACATTTTTTAAGTAAAACCACGTCATAAAGCTAGTTTTTTTCCATGTATTCTTCTCATAGTTTGTATCATTCAAGTCAGTGTATGTATGTGTGTTTGTTTCAGTGACACAATGGTCACTGTGTTCAGATATGGAAGGTAATAGTTACTATGAATTGGTTATGTCTTTAT